AGGGGCTGTGCAGAGCTCATCACCTGGTGTTCCTGTGGCACCCAAATGGCATTTTCTGAAAACTCAAGGTTCTCTGCTCCAATCATGAAACCCTTTGTCACAAATACTCATTCTGTAACAGCTATCTTAAATATGTGCTGCTTTATATGGATTTCCAGCCAACAGCCTCAGTTCAGTCTGTTCCTGGTATGTCTGCTCTCCTCTCAAATATTCCTAAAGACCTGGAAGGAAGCCCCGGGGGTCTTGCCACCTTCCTTCCAAACTGGAGACCAAGGGGGCACGCGTGAATCAGCGATGCCTGGACGGAGCCCTGTGCTCCACTGCCTGCCAGGGCAGACTACCTCTCCCACTCAGTCAGCCTCACGCAACCTTTTCTGAGTCATGCAGACAGAATGTCCACCCCCTTTCAGCCCTGTGCCCCAGGTGGGACCCCACATGGAAGCGTCTATACAGGAAGGACACGGCAGGGGAGCCAAACCTTGGCTGTTGTGAGGCGGTGCAACAGGAACCATGGACTCCGCAGGGGTCAAGTCCAAATCCCACCTCACCAAACTGACCCGGTTCCAAGCCAGTCCCACAGGAAAACTGTCCAGGCACATACCTGCCTCTCACCTGGAAGCCCCCAATTCCTTACTCTGCCCAAGGCCAGTTCTCACCATCCAAGGGTCCTTGGATGGCCCTCAGAAGCCCCTGCTGGAACCCAGGAGCTGGGCAGAGTGCACAGGAGGCCAGAGGGGACAGGTGCAGCCAGGCATGGCCGCACACCTCTGGGGGGGCAGGGGTGAGGGGTCACAGGAGACACAAGGAAGAGGGGCGGAGCGAGGAGTCAAGGACTGTGTAAAGCCATGGAACCAACCGTTTCCTGTACGTGATGTTTTCATGGATGGATATTTGCATATTATTCACAAATTGGGATGTTTGAGCAGCGGATATGCAACACACAGACGGAGACATGGTTTTCGCATTGTATGTTGTTGGGTGGCGTGAGTCAGCAGGTAGATTAAGGTGAATCAAGAACAAAAACAGAAAACAAAAGAGAAAATGAGTCATCAACACAAGCAAAAACTCAAACTCTGAACACTTCTCTGGAAAATTTTAGGATTTTGGCAGACTTTGCATATTTTGCTTGAAATGTATCAAATCAAAACATTACTTTTGAAATCTGTAGGTTATGCAGTGTGGCATTATTTGCATTCCTGTTTGTAATGCAAATCCAAAGATGACTCACAGACACTTATTTTTTATCTCCAGGCAAAGAAATCAATGTCAGTTATATGGTCGCTTTCTACACGACCCTGGTTAATATTATTGCTCTCTTTTGATTTTAAAGTTGGGGATGGGAACTGACACTCATATTTTTGCCTACGGAAAAAAAAGTGCATTCACAAAGTAACATATGAAGTGATTGCAAATGGAAAAAAAGACACCACTAATCCACTGATGGCTTCATCGTTTCTCCTCCCGGCAGAACAGGGTGAAGAACTGAGCTCTGACAGCTGTGTGGCCACGGACAGCTGCACTTCCAGCCTCAACGGCTTTTCAGCCCTCCCACCAGCCCTGCAGGGCACCAAGGGTTGATGGTGGCTACATGGAGGGCTTGTTTGAAGTAAGGTCTGAAGCAACCACAAGGTGCCCTGGCCTTGAGTGTCCCTCAAGCAACTGAGGGACAGGTGCTGGCCTCTTCTGGCCACCTGCACTACAGGAGATCTCTGCTTTATATTCACAAGCCTCTTGGGGGGAGGTTTCCCTAGAAGACAAAGCTGTGCACTGGTGCCTGTGACATCAGCCGGTCACCCTGCCTGCTCCCTCTTGATGGCCTCTCGTTAGTCCCTGCTCTCGCACGGAGCCATACACATGCAGAAACCCCCAGAGCAGTGTCCCTGCAGTTGGGAGCACAAGGTTTGGGTCCCTTTACCAGGGGGAATAAATATGCCTACGCCCGAGGAGGAGGCCTGCAGGCATCAGAAGTGCAGCCAGCTCACACCTCGCCGAAAACCACGCTGGGTGAGGAGCACACGGCCAAGGGGATAGCACTCGGGGAACACGCGACACCAGCAGACAGCGGAGCAAACCAACCTTGGTTTCTTGGCTAAAATGGCAGCTTTCAGCTTTTCACCTGGATTACTCAGATCATTAACTTTTTAAAACCATGCAACATAGCATATAAACGAAAGAATGTGTATAAATATATGTATATATACACCTTTTAAAGAAAAATAATAAAATATTCATATATTCATCACCCAGCTTAAAAAAACAGAATGTCGCTATTAGTTTTGAAGCCATTCCTGACTGTCTCCCTCTCTCCTCTGCAGACGTAGTAACTGCCCTGAATTCTTACTAATAACTGATTTTCTTTACAGGCTTACTACAAACTCTTAAAATGTGTTACGCCTGTCTGTTCTTAACCACTGTAATGAGACAATGCTGTATGAAGCCTTCTCAGACTCGTGCAAACTCTTGGTCTGACAGTGAGCAGTTTTGAAAAGCATCCCTGTCGATGTGGATGCCATTTTCAGGGTCATGTGGCACTCGGCTGCATTAATACTACAATCACCGACATGTTCGTCTGCTACCGTGACCAGTGTCGCTGTGAACATTTGCACAGACACCCCCAGCGCGTGCACCTGGGAGTGAAGGTGCATGTGTTCGGCCTTCTAGGGACCGCCACGCTTTCCCAGGGATGTTGTACTGACTGACACCCTAGCAGCAGTGGTTGGGGGATGCGGGGGTCTGCCAGCTGTCAGCATCTACCTCCAGGCCAGGACGTGATGACAGGGAATAAACATTCTCTGGTCCCCCGTCCTCAGCAGCTTTCAACCAGTGGCAGCCAGCAGCCAGAGAAAGCGCAGCTGCCTCGGAGCACCTGAGGCTCAGGACCCCAGTCTGGATCCTGAACAGTGACTGACCTGATAGCACTTTCTCGGCTGCCTCGCTTCCTGGGCTCGCTTCATTTCTCCCCTGGTATTCCTGGGGTCACCTTTCCGTTTCTCATTTCACAGTCTGCTTCTGGCAAAACCCAACTAAATCAGCTCTGGTCGAGCTGCCTCTACCCGGGCCCTGCATGACGTTCTCAACCAGCCCGCTGGACTTAGAGTTGGCTCACGCCACTCCGCCTCAGAGGGCCCTCCAGTTCCTATCTCACACAAAATAAAGGCCAACAGCAACTCGGACGGCAAGGCCTTCCCCATGCTCCTGCCCGGGGTCCTCAGCCCTCGGCTGCTCCTCACACATGGGTTCGGCGCAGGCCCGGGGCCTCCACGAGGGCTGTCCCCCGACAGGCCTTCCTTGCTTGGCTCCCTCCCAGGCCCAGGCCTGGGAAAGTCGCCATCTCAATGACATCTTATCTGGACACACTGACAAAGCCCCTCCTGCCCACCATCTCCTGCCCTACTCTCTGCTTTGCCTTCTCCCTGGTGCCTACCTATCCTTTTCTAACACTGGATTATTTCTCACTAGAATGAACCTCCAGAAGAGCAGAGATTTCTACCTTTTGTTCCAGCACTTAGGATAGCACTTAGCACATGACAGACACTGCATAAATATTTTTAAATATATAAATGAAGGAATGTGATGCAAATATCTTCTCCCTGTTCATGGATTGCCCTTTTCTCTTTTGATGAACAGAAACCTTATTATAGAGGGAAAAAAAACCTTTATTTTTTACTTTTCAGTTATGGTTGGTGCTTTAAATATCTTGTTTGATAAATCAGTTCCTACCCCGAGTTCTGAAACATAATCCACATTCTCTTCAAAGTTTTAAAGTCTTGCTCTTTATATTTAAGTCTTTTCATCTGCTTGAAATAGCTTTGCTTGTGAACTGAGTGAACCGAGACCCACTTCCTGCATCATCGGTCACGCTCCCACGGAAGGCCGAGCTATCATGCCCCTCCCTGCTAAGCGGCAGTGCTGGACAGTCACACATCAAGTCCCCATAAAGAAGCGGCTTTGATTCTAGGCTCTTGATGCTTTCCACCGGCCCACTCAGCAATCTCTGTGCCGACAGCCCGAGGCACTACAGCTTTATGATCAGTCCTGCCACTGGCAGCAGCACCCTCTCACACCACTCCAGCAGCACCTTCTTCTTAAGTATCCTGTTTTGTGGCCCTTGCTCTTTTTTACAAATTTTAGAAGCAGCATGTGAAGTTCCCAAACAAACAAACAAAAACAAAATCATTGGTATTTTTATTGAAATTGCATTGAATCTACAGATCAATTTGGAGAACATTGTCATCTCCAGGAAATGACACTATTTGTTAATTAACATGATATATGACTGTATGCAAGCCTTCTTTAATATCTTGCAATGAAGTTTAGTAATTTTCCACTAAAGCTGACAAAATTTAATAAAGGTCTTGCACACATCATTTTGGTAGGTTTGTTGTCAGGACTGCTGCTATTACAATAAAATGCAATTAACTGATGTGAGTAACCTCATATTCAGCGACCTTGCTAGACACTCTGATCAGTTTTAGATTGTTCAAGATTTCAACAGATAATAATGTTACCGGAGGATAATGATAGCTTTGTCTTTTCCTTTCTTAATCCTTAGAGGTTCTCTTTTTTTTTTTCTTGTCCTATTCATTCAACAAGTATTTCCTGAGAACCTAAAGTGTCACACTCTATTCTAAGCCCTGGAATGTAGTGGTGAACAAAGCAGACAAAAATTTCTGTCCTTGTGGAGTTGACAGTCAAGTTACTGAGCTGACTAGGCCTTGAAGTTCAATGCTGAAAAGAAGTAGTGGCTACAGGCATCATTGCCTTTTTCTGATTTTAAAGAGACTCTTTCCCATGTTGCAAAGGATTTTTCGGTAAATGCTCTTCATCAAGTTAATTCCTAGACTGCTTAATTTTTATCATGAATAAAATTTTAATTTTGTTGAATGTCTTCTCTGCACCCATGACAAGATCGCCTTAATGGTGTCCTTTGATCTGTTCCCGTGAGATTGTAGGGACAGACTTCCTGACGCATAATCTTGAGTTCTTGGGATACAGGCCGCTGTATTTCCTCTTCTGGCACACTGCTGGATTTGGTTTGCTTACATGTTGTTTAGAATTTTGCATCTACATTGAAGAGTGCGTGTGGATCATTATCTTCCTTTCTTATAGCCTAGTTCTTGAAAATGTGGCCATCGGGACTGTACTAGTCTCACACAAAAAATTAGGGAATGTTCGCTATTCTTCTATTCTCTGGAAGAATTTGTTTAGGATCGCAATGAGCTTTCCTTGTCCTTGAGGCAGAAACACAATGCGCCACTTCTACAGACCAGCGGCGTGAGCCACACCAGGACATGGACTCCGGGTCAAAGAACAGGTTAGTCATTCACCTCACACCTTCTACTCTTGGTAGGCTTCTTTGGGCTTTGGAGACAGCATTCCACACTTAGGAAACACTGCTGCGACCCACTTACCGTGGCACGAAGCTGCTAGGCTTCAGAGGTTTCAGAGCAAGACAGGACTTTGCAGCAGAGCCGGGCAACAGGGTCAGCGGCCCTGCCACGTGGGCCTGAGATTCACAGATCCCAGGCTGGGGCATCTGTGGGCAGAGGCACTGCGTGGAGCCCTAGAAACCCCACAGCAAGGTCAGAGCAGCCACCTAGGGCTCTGGAGCAAGGCCGTGTCATCTGCGCAATGACACTGGAATCACCAATGCAAGGGGCCACTCCTGGCTACTGGGTCCTGGGGGAGACTGACCATGAGACATCCGTATTCTACACACCACAGCTTTCCTCACAGGTGGTGTGCTTCAGGCCCACCAACAGCTCAGCTGTAACGGGAGTGCCCCGTCTGGGACCAGACCTAAGAACTCCAGAGGGCACAGTCCCAGGACAGGTGGTCAGTCCCCCAGGCCTCTCAGCTCCCTGCCCACCCCAGTACATCATGGGATGATCACTAAAATGAGGAGGAAAACAGATCTGGTTTATGGAGGGTTTGGTTCATATATTGGCGCAGGCCTCCTAGAGCCCCAAGCAAGGATGGCTTGAAAGACAGCAGCGAGGCAGAGCTCTGGGTGCGGTGCCTGATCGGCCACACAGGTGGAGAGAGACACTGCCTATCATAAGGACCACAGCACCCTAGGCTTGGGCTCCAGCTGGGTCAGGGCTCTGTAGGAACGCAGCTTGGGGAGGGGGCGTCCAGAGGGACCTCGGCAGTGGGTCCGCGTGCAGGTCTCTGCATTAGCGCCATTCTTTTCATGTCCACCAGAGGGCACCCTTGGCACTTAAAAACCGGGTGCGCAGCCCGTGTTCACACAGTAGGTCCTGCATGGAGCCTGTGGGGGCCGAGACGAGGCTGTGCCTGGACCCAGTAGCTGGGCTCGCTCTTCCCAAGGCTCATGCAGCTGTGGCCATGTGAGCACCCAGCTCCTGCAAGCAGAGCTCGCCCCGTGGCCTCTTTGGAGAGCCATGCTTACAGCTGTCAACACCAGCCACTCGGGGGCAGGTTACATACATGGGAACCCCTTCGCCTGAAAACGGTGGGGACTTGCCTCCCCCCTGGGCTCACTCACATCCCAGCTGTGGGTCTGCCTTTGGTGATGCAGACCCTGGACTGTAGTGTGATCCGAGACTCATCAACACGGGACCCCACATACCACTGCCTCGGAGCGAGCAGAGGACGGGGTGCAAGGAGCAGGCAGCTACAGGACGCACTGGCACATCACACTCCACACCGCTGGGAGGTGCGACCTGACAGAATGCTTGAAACAGCCTCATAAAGGCATAGATGAAATGCCAGCTTGGTGACATACCTTACGGGGATGGGGTTCTTCCTACAGGATGAATAGATGGCCATGAGACAGTACTGGATGCCAAGTGGCAAAATACAATGCCCGGGAAACCGGAGGAAGAAGGGGTGGCCCCTCGCCATCACTGCAGCAACCCAGGGTGGATGCTGCGCTCCCCATTCCCCACGTTCAGGTTTGGTGAATCTAGAGGTCCTGGCTCAAGGGGTATGGAGAGCTTCCACTGCGGAACACCAAAAGCCATGGTGGCCCCTGTCACATTGGCCACCTCAGGCCCAAAGACCAGCAGGCAGAGAGCCACTTGCACGCTGGTCACGGTACCGGATGCTGATCATTGCGAAGGGCAGAGCTGCCTCCACATAAGGACAGGGCACATCTGTCTGGAGCCCAGCAGCTCACCGGGGCATTCCTCAGCGCCCCTATGACGAGTCTCAACTGTGATGGACTATCACAGCAGCCAGAGCCACAGGGCACGCAGGGGCATAAGCCGCATGGGGTGAGGGCCAGGGTTGCCTCACCAGACCAGCAAGCAGAGCAGCAGAAAGTTGTCCACAGGCCAGGGGCCTCCTGGAGGGTGGGGAGGAGACCGGCAGGCTAGCGGGAGCGCTGGCTCCTCTTCCGAGCCTTCTTCTGCCCCAAGTCGTGCCAGCACCCACGTGAAGAGTGAGTGAAGCGAGGCACAGGCAGAGCTGAGCAGGCCAGGGGTGCAGCAGCTGGCCCTGTTAGGACAGCACCCGGTGTCCCTTCATCACTGCCCCAGGCTGCTCCACCTGCTCAGAGTGGAGGACGTGTCTGAAAAATGACATCCCCCAGTGCAGGCCTTGACAGCAGAGTAGCGGGTAAAGACTCTGCAGCTCTGAGGTGTGACCAACTCTGTCACAAGAGCCCACGGGGACGAACCACAGGACCCCCAACACTCGGCTCCGGAGGGCGCCACCCTTCTGGCCCCCCCTCTTCCCCATCACATGCCGGGACTTCTCCCCACTGAGAACACATCCCGAGAAATGCCTTCCAAGAACCTTCATCTCAGCGTCTACTCCAGAGAATTCAACCCAAGACAAGCAGATGAGATGTTCTTGCCATTTAATTCTAACTTACAACACTGTACTCAAAGCATATTGCTTCATTACTGAGATTCTTTAAAGTCTGGTGACGCAAGTTTATGTTCCAGCACTTGGTCAGTTTTTAGATACAATCCATATACATTTGGTAAGAATGAGTATCTCCAGTCACATATATATCAAATAGGGTTTTTTAAAATATTCTAAAATCTTATTAGTTTCAGTTTATAAATTTTTGGTGCCAAGTTGTCAGATACTTACATGTTAGACACACACACAGGACATTTAAGGATCCTGTCTTCCTGATCAGTTGTTACCATGGGGCTCCCAGGTGATTCTGAGCCCGTCAGCCTGGAAGACCTTTTGGGAACCACTTTCTTATCCAAGAAAAAGCATTTGCTGAGAGAACACCCCACCCACAAACTCCACCTGTGGAGAGGACCCTCCAACTGTCCAGGGCTCCTGGGCAACTCTGGCCAGAGAGAGGTGCTAAGTCAGCGTGGGCAGCAGCTGGAGGTAGCACCCTCTAGAAGGAAACCATTTTGGGACCCTGGAGGGGGGACAGGGAACAGTACTTACCGCAATCTCTGTTACTAAAATATCAGTAATACTTCCCAACACAGTGACAAAGTCGAAGACATTCCAGGCATCTCTGAAATAGTTCTGGAGAGAGAAAGAAGGGCAGTCAGTGCTAGTGGTGGGTGAAGGCCCTGCCAGACAAGGATTTGCAAGAAGTGGTCCCAAACCCAGAAGGGCACAACGGGAGAGATGAGCCACTCCAGGGATGTCCTTGCGGGACAGCACGAGGCAGTGAAGCAGACATGCCACCAGGCACCTCTAGGCCTGGACAGGTGCACAATTGAGAGCCATGTGTCCAGGGAGGAGTGACCTGGCTCCCTCCACCTCTAGGAGATGGGCGGGGGGCTCGGGGAATTCTCAGTTTAAACAGAGTCCTGCAGGTCCGCCTATGCAGAGGGAGCCAGACTGCAGAGTCCCAGAGGCTAAGACGGAGCCAAGTCACGTACCAGCACCCCAAAGGCGATGATCTTCAGCACGCACTCCATGGAGAACACGGATGTGAACACGATGTTCAGGCACTTCAGCATCAGCTCGTACTCATACGGCGCATCATAGAACTGCCAGGGGAATAAGTGCCATTGGCCAAGGGCTCAGCTGCCCCAAGACCCCCAGCAGGGACCTCTCCAGCCTCCTGTCAGAGCACAGGGGGGCAGACAGAACGAGATGCCCGCCTGGCACAGGGACACCCAGGGGAACGGGCACCCAGCACGGACCAGCCTGCAGGGTGCCCCAGCTCCCACACGTTGACAGGAGGAAGGTGGGCTCTCTGGCTGGTTTGAGCCAGTCCCGACCCCCAGCTAGCACCCACCAGCACCGCACGGGCCTCTCACACCTTCATCATAAGCACCACCGTGTTGAGGGCTATCATGGCCATGATGGAGTACTCAAAGGGCGGTGTTGTTACCATGGGGCTCCCAGGTGATTCTGAGCCCGTCAGCCTGGAAGACCTTTTGGGAACCACTTTCTTATCCAAGAAAAAGCATTTGCTGAGAGAACACCCCACCCACAAACTCCACCTGTGGAGAGGACCCTCCAACTGTCCAGGGCTCCTGGGCAACTCTGGCCAGAGAGAGGTGCTAAGTCAGCGTGGGCAGCAGCTGGAGGTAGCACCCTCTAGAAGGAAACCATTTTGGGACCCTGGAGGGGGGACAGGGAACAGTACTTACCGCAATCTCTGTTACTAAAATATCAGTAATACTTCCCAACACAGTGACAAAGTCGAAGACATTCCAGGCATCTCTGAAATAGTTCTGGAGAGAGAAAGAAGGGCAGTCAGTGCTAGTGGTGGGTGAAGGCCCTGCCAGACAAGGATTTGCAAGAAGTGGTCCCAAACCCAGAAGGGCACAACGGGAGAGATGAGCCACTCCAGGGATGTCCTTGCGGGACAGCACGAGGCAGTGAAGCAGACATGCCACCAGGCACCTCTAGGCCTGGACAGGTGCACAATTGAGAGCCATGTGTCCAGGGAGGAGTGACCTGGCTCCCTCCACCTCTAGGAGATGGGCGGGGGGCTCGGGGAATTCTCAGTTTAAACAGAGTCCTGCAGGTCCGCCTATGCAGAGGGAGCCAGACTGCAGAGTCCCAGAGGCTAAGACGGAGCCAAGTCACGTACCAGCACCCCAAAGGCGATGATCTTCAGCACGCACTCCATGGAGAACACGGATGTGAACACGATGTTCAGGCACTTCAGCATCAGCTCGTACTCATACGGCGCATCATAGAACTGCCAGGGGAATAAGTGCCATTGGCCAAGGGCTCAGCTGCCCCAAGACCCCCAGCAGGGACCTCTCCAGCCTCCTGTCAGAGCACAGGGGGGCAGACAGAACGAGATGCCCGCCTGGCACAGGGACACCCAGGGGAACGGGCACCCAGCACGGACCAGCCTGCAGGGTGCCCCAGCTCCCACACGTTGACAGGAGGAAGGTGGGCTCTCTGGCTGGTTTGAGCCAGTCCCGACCCCCAGCTAGCACCCACCAGCACCGCACGGGCCTCTCACACCTTCATCATAAGCACCACCGTGTTGAGGGCTATCATGGCCATGATGGAGTACTCAAAGGGCGGCGAGACCACGAATGTCCATGTCCTGTACTGGAATGACTGCTTGTTCTGGGGCATGTACCGCGTCAGGGGCTTGGCACTGATGGCGAAGTCAATGCAGGCCCTCTGCCCGGGGAGAAAGGAGCACTAAGAATTCAGGCCGGAGCCCACTGCACCCACCACACAGCTGCAGCCCCCACCCCCGCAGGGAGCCCCGAGCACCATGCAGCCTCTCGCGGCCCCTGCACCGGCCAGAGCCAAGCCGACGATGCGCGGCTCCTGGGCAGAAGGAAGCCTGGTGGCCCCTCCTGCACTCCCCACTGGGGGGCCCAGCAGGGCACCCACTGCGCACCAGTGCGTGGGGAGGGACGGGGCGCCCACCTCGTTCTTCTCCAGGCTGCATTCGGACATCGCCTTGTCCCCCTGCTCCTGGAAGGTGATGATGATCAGGGCCACGAAGATGTTGACGAAGAAGAAGGGGAAGACCACGAAGTAGACCACATAGAAAATGGACAGCTCCATGCGGTACCCAGGGCTCGGGCCCTGCTCCTCATGCGTGGCGTCCACGGAGTGTTTCAGCACCCTGGGCCGAGAGCAAATGCCAGGTGTCAGGAGAACTGATGAGGACGCAGCCCTGGGACAGTCAGGGCCTAACGCCACAGGTGAGCTTCCACACCTGAGCCCAGGGCCCAGCCCTGCTGCGTGGGCCTGCCGTCTCTCCCGGAGACGGGCCACCTTCCTGACGAGACCTGTGCTCAGGGTCTGAGACCTCCAAGGCCAGGCCTCCAGGGGCCTGAGGTCCTACTCCCAGAGGCTCTGCCTTGCTCACTCCCAGCTCTCACCTGCTCGTACTCACACCTGGCCCACCGGCTCATGCCCAGTTTCACCTGCCTTCAGAAAGCCCTGGGCTCAGAGCATCAACCCTACCTTCTGGGCAGGGGGGTTGTTCTCCCGGTGCCAAAGAAAGGCTCCTGCCATCTATCAAGGCACTGAACACACCTTGCTCTGGCCGCCTTTAACTGAACGCAGCAGGCCAGCCACAGAGGACGCCAGAGCTCCACACCCTCTGGCCTGCAGCCACTCAAAAATGGTTTCAGGTCACTATGCCGTGAGTTCTTTGGTTTGACTTCTTTTTCCCAGGCAGCCACTCTTGGAGGGCAGGGCTTATGTCTCACCTCGTAGGTACAAGGGCCTACAGGGTATTTGCTGAGCAACTGGAACAAAAATGAATGCAAAGTTCTGGCCTCCCGGCCCCAGCCCCTCTGCTCCAGCCGACCAGCCACGAGGAGCCCACGACACTCACATGGGCCACCCTTCTCCTGTGGACACCGTGAACAGTGTCAGCAGAGCCCAGAGCACGTTGTCATAGTGAAAGTCGTACTTCTTCCACTGTCGTGGCTGAGCTTCCACGTCCTCCTTCTCATAATCCAAGTACTGGCCCCTGGAATGAGAGCACAGAAGAGGCTAGAGGTGAAAGACAAAGGGTCCGAGATACCTGTTCTACGGACAGTGGTGTTTGAAGGACTGTGTGTTCGTTGGAGAAAGGAAAGCGTCTCCAACAAAAGGCCAAGAGGCAGCTGTGTTTCCATGTGCAAAAGAACACAGGTGGACCCCACCTCGCTCCACATACAAACATTAACTGAAAATGGATGACAGACCTGAATGCAAGAGCTGAAACTATGAAACTCTTACAACAGAAGGGGCCTCAAATTGGGGAATGGATTCTTAGAATGACACCAAAATCACAAGCAACAAAAGAAAATAATAGATAAATTAGACTTCATCAAAATTTAAAGCTTTTGTGCTTCAACAGACATCATCAACCCACAAAACGGGACAAAATATTCAGAGATCATCTCTCTGATAAGGGACTTGTGTCCAGGATATATAATGAACTATCACAATCAATGACAACAAAGACAACCCGATTGAGAGTGGGCGAAAGATGTGAACAGACATTTCTCCAAGGAAGACGTACAAATGGCCGGTGAGCACACATGAAAAGCACACGACTCAACAAAATGAGCCATCAGCAAAATGCAAACTGACACCACAAAGAGACACCACTTTCCTCCCACTGGGATGGTGGCGAAAAGGACAATGACAAGTGCTGTCAAGGAGATGCAGGAATCAGAGCTCTCACCCACTGCCGGTGGGGACATAAAATGGTTCGGCCGCTCTGGATGACGGCCTGGTAGTTCCTGAAACTCTAAACAGTCACCATGTGACCCATCGACTCTGCTTTTAGGTACATCCTCAAGAGAAATGAAAACATCTGTCCACAAAAAATCTTGCACACGTGTCCACAGCAGCATTAATCATAATAGACAAAAGGTAAAAACAACCTGAATGTCTAGCCAGCAGATGAAAGAAAAAATAAAACACAGCACATCTAGAGAAAGGGATAATCGACCAAAAAGAGGATGACGCCACAACATGGATGAGCCTTGAAAACACTGAGCTAAATGACAGGAGTTAGACACAGCACCACATGACTTCACGTACATGAAGTGTCCAGAACAGGGAAATCTACAGAGACAAAAAACAGGTCCGCGGCTGCTTAGGCTGGGGCTGTGGACTAAGAGGAAACAGCTAAGGCTATGGGGTGTTTGTTTGTTTCTTAACTGATGAAAATGTCCTGAAGCTGACTGTGGTGATGGTCACACATGCCTGAGAATACACGGAGCCCACTGAATTGTAAACCTTTAGTGGATGAATCATATGATACCTGGATTATATCTTGATAAAACTGTATTATACAAAACAAAGGATCCCATTGCAATGGGGAAAGGATGGTCTTTTCAAAAACTGGTGCTGCAACAACTGGATATCCATGTACAGAAAATGTATCGTTATTCATACCTCAGCGACACACAAAAAAATCAACTCCAGATTGATCACATATCGCAATGTGAAAGGCAAAAATAAAACTTTTGGGGAAAACATAAGAGGACATCTCTCCTGACCTTGGGATAACTATCCTCAACAGGACCCAAAGAGTACTAAAAACCACAAAGATAAATTGGCCTACATCACAAGCAAGACTTTATTCCTTGAAAGATGCCAACACAAGAATACCAAGTATCCCACAGAGAAGACATCCATACCCCATAGATCTGGCAAAGCATTCCTGTTCAGGACTTTAAAGAATCCCTACGAATCAACCAAAAAGAGACAGGACCGAGCTGGGAAAATGGGAAAAGACTTGCCCGGACACTTCCCAGGAAGGGGCGGCCAAGCGGCCCATCCACCTGGGAAGGGTGCTCATTCTCACTGGTCACCACCCACGTGCGGTCAACCCACAGATAAACGCCACTGCCCACACACGGGAAAAGCCAAAACGCAGAAGACAGAAGCCCCAGGAGTCCGCAGGATGTGGTGTGCTCGAGCCGCCATCCATGCTGGAGGGAGCGCGATGCCACACAAGTACTTGGCAGCACCTGCAAGAGCCCGGCTGGCCATGGCACCCAGAGGGGCGCACTCCCAACAGATACACAGACGGCCACAGCCATCCTGCTCACTGCAGCCTCGACTGGGAAAGCCCCTGCCCGCTGGTTTTGGAGGGGAGACAGGGGGGCACGTTCACACGAGGGAGCTTCACAGAGAGACCACTGGCCCGGCGCCCGCCCGCACCAACCCCCTCCTCCCTCCCTGGCCCCACCCCAGGAGAGCCTCTCCTGGATGCTCCGGGGTGGCCTGGCCTCACAGTGAGGTGGAAGTGGCCTCGGCCATCTGGTGGCCCCTTTGAGTGCTCCCTGCCCCGGCCCTGCCTCAGTTTACCTGCAGTCCCTCTCCAGCTCCTTGGACTCGTCAGTGCAGTAGAAGAACTTCCCTTTGAAGAGCTGCACCGCAATGACGGCGAATATGAACATGAAGAGCACGTAGACTATCAGGATGTTGAGGACGTTCCTCAGGGAGTTCACCACACAATCAAACACGGCCTGGAGGGGAGGGGGCAGCTGAGCGCAGGGTGGCTTCGGCACTGGGCGCTGCCTGACCCTGTGCTCCTCTCAGAGGGGTCATCTTGGCCTTGATGAGGTAGGTGGGAGGCGCTAGGAGAGGCGGATGGCAGGCAGGCTGGCGCCCAAGAACCTGGGGCTGTGGGTGTGAGCTGGTGCCCAGGCGGCCTGCATCAGGAGGGGCCGGCATGGAGAGACAGCAGTGGGGACAGGATGCGGCCAGCCCCTGCTCCTGCGCCCGAGCCCTGCCAGGGGGTCGTGCTCTGCCCCTGCCCATCAGTGGGAACCAACACTGGGCAGGGAAGCTGTGGGGCTGGGCCAGCTCCGGGACAGGGGCTCACGGCGTTGTCTTGTGGCCCAGAGGAGGCTGCCGTCCGTTACCATCACCACCTGGGCTTCCTTTCATGTGCTCCCCCACCAGGAGGCACAGCCTTGTCTGACTCCCACGCTGCCAAGCCTTGCCCTGGTCCCTGATTCTCAGAGCTCGGAAGGTGCACCTGCTCTGCTGTGCACAGCTGCAGGCCCACGACCATCTCCAGGGATGCTGCCTGGCACACTCCAGACAGCAGCCACTGCGCACCTGCCCAGGTCTGTGGTGCCCTTTACCCACCAGACCAGGCCCAAGTCCCCGACTGACAGAGAGGGCCTCTGGCTGCCCTCAGGTCACCTTCTAGCCTGTCCCTTCACCCGCAGGCTCGAAGCAAACTGCCTCCTTTAACTCCCATGTTGCCCAGTGCTTCTGACGCTTGCATCTGCAAGCTGTTCACCTACTTCCCTGCACACGGTTTGGGAGGATCAAATGACTTTAAGCACATAAAGCATTTCTCACAAGCTCAATGATTATTAGATTTTGGCACACTCCACGTTTGGCTTCACACTCTTTCCTTTACCGGGAACCTCAGCCATAACGTCCTTCAGGGTCGAGCCCGTCACGACTTCTCGGGAGCCCCGTCCTCCCTGCTTCGCCCGCAGGACCCCCTGCCTCTCTCGGCAGCCCCTCTCCCCTTGCCACAGCTGTGGGTGAAAACACACTGCCTGATGTGGTGCCGCTGGGTTAAGGAAAATTAGCCTTACAGGCCCCTGCTGAGAGTGATACTGGACTGGCTCTAGAGGGCCCGTCCCACCCACACACAAGACCCGAGGGAACCTGACGTGGGCCTCCCTCAGCACGGCTCCTCCCTACCCCACATGGGAAACTGCAGCGACACAGGGCCAGTCCCATGTGTGCATGTACACATGCATGCACAGTGCACCACATGCACACACCATATACTCATGTGCACACTGCACATGCAGGCAAACATGTACCTACCTGCATGCATTCCCTGCACACACAGGTGCACGCACATGTATGCACCTCCATGCACATGCATAAACACACACTCACCTGTGCACTCACACACATGGCCCTTACACTCCTGAGCCCCCTCTATGCTCTCACCTTGAGCTTGGGCAGTCGCTTGATGGTCTTCAGGGGCCGCAGGACTCGTAGGACGCGCAGGGACTTGATGGTGTTGATATCCTTTCCTTTGGACCCTCTAGGGGGAGAAGCCACATGCAGAAAGGCAGGAGGCACATCTGTGCCCCCCGTTCCCACGAGGCTCCCAGGGTGGAGGTCACACTCCCTGTGTGTTATGTCTAGGGCCCCAGGGTGGAGGACCTAGGAGCAGGGAGGTCCTGGCCCTGCAGGCCCCACAGGCCACTGCGTCCCCTCCTATGGGAGCTGAGCCAAGGCCTCATCAGAGCAGACCAGGGCCAGGGCGGCGGGGCCTGGCGCCCAGGGAGCGCTGAGCCTCCAGATTGCAAGAACCCATTTCCCTGACCACATCAGCTGCTTCTATCACCCACCCCTCAGCCAGCTTCCTCCAGCCACCATGCTGAGAGCAGCAGTGGGCAGAATGCAGGAGGAGGGGGCCTACCCTGGGACCCCAGACACCACGGGGCAGCACAGGGAAGACAAGTGAGATGCCACTGTGTCCACTGATGCAAGAGCCCCTGGAGGGCAGCGCCTCCTGCTTCGCACGCTGGTGGGGGGCCACGGGGACGTGGGGGGCTCCCTGCCTGTCCACTCTCAGCTGCCCTAACACCCCCCCAGGCGACGTGAAACAGACAGAAAGGGAGATGAGCAGAAGGGCGGCAGGCCTGGAGGGAGGAAAGGAGAGGAAGAGGCCACGTCAGATGACCACGGAGGGAACGCATGACGCAGGGGGGTACGCAGAGCAGCAGGCCAAGGAGGGCGAGCAGCGGGAGGGAGTCAGAGAGGAGGAGAGAGCCGCGGGGAGGCAGAGACGTGAGACGTCAGGAAGGCCGCAGACAGGAGAGCCCACGGAGGCGGCAGAAACACAGGAAGGACGTCTGGTAAAGAAAATCTAGGGACCAGAAGCAAGCTCAGCAGCGCAGGGCCAGCGGGCCTGGACCCGGGCCCCTCGCAGGGGAAGCCGGAGCAGACCCAGGGGGCGCCCTCAGGCTGCAGGGGCCCAGGAGCCGTCAGACCCTGGGGCTGGTCAACATTCTCAGATGCAAGGCCACACCCCATTTGGAGGGCAGGGGCTGAGGGCTCAGCACCGAGGGGGCCTGACCCCATTCTGCCCACTTCACCCCAAGTTCCCAGGGAGCCTGAGAGAGCGGGGAGGGGACGGGGTCCTTGACGGTCTTCCTGGGCTCCAGCCAAGTCTGGTGAGAGGGAGCCGGGTAGCCCAAGCAGGCTCCATGGGCAAAGGGGAACTGGGGGCACCTCAGAGTCTGATCAAACACCCTTGAAACACCAAGCTTTTGGGTGGAAAAAGCCCAGCCTCCAGACCATCCCGTCAATTATTTCCATCACCCTGGTGCTCTGGACACCCCTCCTCAAACGAGCTTCCTCCAGTCACCCTGAGGAGACCAACACCAGGACAACGGGGGACAGGAGATCTGCATGGGGACCTGGGTGGGCAGGCAGACACCTGCGGGACACAGGAAGCGGGGCACCATTTCTGTCTCCCAGCAGATACGGTTCTGGGGGAGGCAGCCCTTTGGTGGTCTGTGTTCTGCGTTTCTCTCATGCCAGCTCAGGGCCTTTTGCACTGAGGGCCCCTGGTTGGGTCTCACCACATCGTCCCCACCCCTGCCCACTGTCTCATTCACAAGCCTCCCACTGATGCTGGCCAAGTCGCCCCCACCTTTTTATAAGAAGAGGGTTGGTTAAGACCTCCAGAGGAGGTGCCAGACATTGTAGGGCCACAGTTGTGGAGAGGAAAGAGGAAAGAAAGCTGAGTTCCCAGAAGTTGCTGTGGGAACTGGGACAGGGAGCTCTGGACAGGGATGGCAGGGCAGTGAGGCCCCAGCAGCTCCCTCCAAGCCTCCCTCCTCCCTGCCTCGGGGATCTGCGCTCCCAGCCGCCAGCACCCACTCAGAGCCCTGCTCTCTGGACGCCTCCCGCCCCCAACCTGGCCACGGGCCCGGGGATACAGCCCCTGCAGCATGCAGCCCCAAGGTGGAGGATGGGGTGGGGGCATGGCGACCGAACCGCCCAGGAAGGGTGCCAGGGGCTATGATGAGGGGCAGCGGGGGCACAGAAGGAAGGCATTACCCCATGAAGCTCCTACCGAGAGTCCAGCAACAGGAAGACAGAGAGAAGAGAGTCAGTGAGGAGGCCGTGCCAGGAGCAGCTCAGCCCACACCATCCTGGGCTTGGAGAAGGTGAAGACCCCTCCCTCCACACCTGCACCCACGACGGTCCTTCCTCATCTCTGCACGTGACCCCCACCCCTGCATCTCCCTCCTTCACCTCCACCTAAGGCCCCCATCCTGCCTCATGCCCACTGCCATGCAGGGTCTCAGGGAGCCAGTCCAGGCCCAGCCTCTAGGGACTCAGAGAAAGCAGCCTTTTGCCCCAACAAGTAAGATGCCCACCAGCACCCATCCGCTCTGGCTGATGAAGCAGTGCAGCCAAGTCAGACGCCGAGAGGCAGACGCCGATACGCTGGAGGCCTGCCCACCCGAGTTCAGAACCAAGAGCCAAGGCCCTGCGGTCTTGCCCTCCCAGCACAGCCCCGCCCCAAGACAGGCGCCCAGGGAGGCCGATGGGCCCGCCTTCCCAACCCATCTGTCTCCCGGACTGCGGCGCAGCGGACCCAGAAAGATGTGGGTACTTACGAGAAGGCAAATGCCACCAGGGCTCCACTGACCACAATGAAGTCCAGAATGTTCCACAGGTCACGGAAGTAGGCCCCAGGGTGCAGCAGCAATCCCAGATCGATCATCTTCAGGGAAGAAACACGCTTTCAGGCAGGACACTTCAGAAAGGGGGCAGGGCCAGGCCCCAGAGTTGGGGGTTTGGGGAGAAAGATGCCGCTCAGGTCACCTCCCCCAGCGCCCGCAAGCAAGAGAGGGTACAAGTCCCAGGTCATGCCCTCCCGGGGAGGTGGTCACAGCCTAGGTGACGCCATCCCAGGGAGGGGTCACAGCCAGGTCACACCCTCAGGGGAAGGGGTCACAGCCTAGGTCACGCCCCCCCAGGGGAGGGGTCACAGCCCAGGTCACACCCTCCGGGGAAGAGGTCACAGCCTAGGTCACGCCCCCCCAGGGGAGGGGTCACAGCCCAGGTCACACCCTCCGGGGAAGAGGTCACAGCCTAGGTCACGCCCCCCCAGGGGAGGGGTCACAGCCCAGGTCATGCCCTCCCAGGGAGGGGTCACAGCCCAGGTCACACCCTCCCAGGAAGGGGTCACAGCCCAGGTCACACACTGTCAGGAGAGGGGAGATGGCCTGAGTCCCATCCTCTGAGGGTCTCAGTGGGCCTCTGGACCTCAATGCCATTGACCCAAATAGCTCTACAGAGTCAGGACAGGCTGGAGCCCTGCCCTGACCTCCAACTCTCCTAGAGACTGAATGAAACCCTCCCCCATGGGGGCTGCAGGCGCATGTGGCCCCAGGGGACTCACACCCCGCCCAGACCCTCCGAGGGTCAGCTGCATGCAGCAGAAGGGAGAGCTGTGGGGTCCACAGGGACCTGGTTCTGCACCCCCAGGGCTGCGGTCACTGTGAGCCACAGCCTCCCCATCTGGGCAAGGGAATGACGGCGCCTCCCCCAGGAGCCTGCGGGAGTGAGGGGGCAGAGCTGGAGGGTGCACACACACATAAAAGCTGGCCTGCGCCATGAGTGTGGGCACCCAAGGGCACCTCACGCCACCTGTGTGGATGCCGCACTGGCCACCCAGGTGTTGACAAAGGAGCAATGCCTATTAGGGGACAAAGGCCACAGGGAAATGGTCAGGCCTTAGCTTGCCAGCTGGCACCAGAGCCCTTTCAAGAGGAAGTCTTCAGCACCCACCTGCCTCCATCTTTGGGCACTGAGGACACCACCCTCTCCCCAGGCACTCCTTCCTCCCAGCCTGATGTCACGGGCCCTTCTCTGCTGCTACAGGACGGTCCTGAGGGGTGCTGAGCCCACACCTGCTTAAGGAAGTCTGTAGCCCTTAGTCAGAAATGTGGAGGAGACCAGGTACAGCGTTGGTGAGCTCTCCCGGGGTGGACACTGAATCCCTAGTGAACTGGCCTCTCGTCTCCAAAGCACACCTTACACATGTGGGCCCATGAGAGCTCACGTCTCCACACATGTGTGTGCACACCCTCTCATGAGCACACGCATTCCTAGGAGGTGACAGGCCTTGTCCCGTCTTGGTCCTAAGGGAAGAGGAGCAGGTGGGGTCCCCAGGGCCACCACACATCTCACCTTTATCACCATTTCAAACGTAAAGACGCCTGTGAAAATGTAGTCCATGTATTTCAGAGCCTAGAACCAAAGGGAGGGTTGCCCTTGAAGGCGAGGCTGGAAGTGGGGTACAGTGCCATTTCAGCAGCACTGCGTCTTCCCCCAGGTCCCAGAGAAGACGGCCCATCAGCCATGTCATAGGGAGGGGAGACCTGGCAAGTGTCCCTGCGGCTGCAGGCCCCTCCGGCAGCGGCCCAGATGCTGACCCTGGGCTCGCCCCCTGCTCTTCTCTGTAATGTGGGCTGGACCTTCACCCCGTCCCCGAGGAAGGAGCCTGGTGAGCAGACAGGATCACCCTCCACAGCCTGACAGCGGCACTCACGTTGTTCCTGGGCGAGTCTGTCCGCACAGGATCCTCGGCAGCCAGGGCGATGCTGCTCAACGCAATGACCACAAGGATGACCATCTCAAAGTACCGCATGGTCACGATGGAGTGGCAGAGGCGACGGAGCCTGGAGGGCAAAGCCGGGTCACCTGAGGCCCACAGACAAGCAGGCACTGATCCCTAAGAGCCCCCAGAGCAGCGCTAGGGAGTCTGCAAAGCCACAGCAGGGCCACAGGCCAAACGGATCTGGCCCTGTTTGCAGATGTAAAGGTCTGCAGGTGCACAGCCATGCCCCCGCACTGACCTACTGTGTGTGCCGTCAGTGGGATGAGGGGGCTGTTGAGAGCACCCACACCCCTGGGCAGAGCAGGCCTCTGCTGAGGGCCCTGGAAATCCTTCAGGCCTGGGCCGGGTGTGGTGGCCTGGTCTGACCCCGAGTCAGTGATCCATGTGTGCCCAGCAGCTGCCCGCCTTCACTCACTGTCAGCACTCTTGGCCACTACCCTGCTCCTCAGACACCTCTGGACACCAGTAGCTGTGTAGACACACACCTCCAGGAGACACTCAGCTACGGACAAACACTACACCACAGGGGCCAGCGCGTCTGGGGAGGCCGCTGTGCGGGTCAGGGAAGCCCATCCCTGGCGGCTGTGTGATGAGCGGGAGGGCCAGTGCCTCTCCCGCCACTGAGAGGTGTGTCCCCAGGGTGCATCCTCTGCACCAGCCCTCAGACCCCTTCCCACCCCAAGGACTTTCCACCAGGAAGGACTGCCTGCCACACCCACCCACCCCTCTCCCTTTGAGGGGCTGTCACACTCACCCCCCATCGCTCCACCTCTTGGCCTCTGTGCCCACCAAGGGGCCCCAGGCCCTGATGACCTGCTGGCACTCCCCCCTCACCGAGCCGCCTTCCACCTCTGAAGCCCACAGTGGGTTCCCCTGCTCTGCACGCCAGTGCCGGCTCCCCCCTTATCTTGATCCTTGACCGCCCTTAGGGCTCAGCTTACAGCTGCCACTTGACTCCTGCCTCCAGGAACAATGCATGACCTCTGTTGCCCTGGAGAGCGAGCCCCCAGCTCACCTTTCCCACACTGGGTTTGCTTGACGGCCACCTGCCCCTCCGTGCTGCTGGTGCCAGCGGCAGGGGGCATCTGCCCCCACTGCCACCTGGCTCCTAACCCAGCAGAGCAGTGTGTGGACGGGAAGAAGGAGCGCAGGAAGGAGAACGGAGGGCGGGGAGGAGACACTGCCGGGCTCCAGGCCATTGGCCTTGCTGCCCTGAGCCCCTGTGTGGCCAGGCGGCTGCTCTGCGGCTCCACGGTCACCCAGGCCAGAGTGCTCTCCCCCCGCTTCCACCAGTCTCACCCGCCCCCTCCAGGCCCCACCGACCTTCCCTCCTTGACCTCAGTGCCCACAACAGTCCACGTCTCTGTTCCGGCCTGTGCTCCGCCCAGTGCTCACACCACCTGACAACTCTCGGGCGTCACTTATCTTGTTTACTGCCTGTCTCTCCCACTAGCACAGAGCTTAGTAAGGATGGGGTTCCTCCTCTGTTCTGGTCACCACTATGAGTCCCCAGTACCTAGAGCGCTATTTGGCCCTAAACACTAACAAACTAACGAAGCAGCTGGGCTGGTGAGTGGACAAAAAATGCAGGATGACCACACAAGCTGAGGCGTGGAAACACGGACGGGCCCGTGAGTGACTGTGATGCGCACACAGGACGCGTGCACGGTGGGCATGGTGGGAGCATGGACAAGCGGAGCCCATGAGCATGTGGGCTGTAAGCCGCTGTGTGTGTGGAGATGAACGAATGCCACGGTGAAGCTGAGGGCAAGGGTCCAGGGCCTTCTGGCCCCCAGCTCCACCCCCGAGACCAGGTCTGTCTGGGGAAAGCTGTGCACCTCCCTACGCTTCACCACCTCATCTGCAGCGAGGCCACAACAGTGTGTGTTTTACGGAGGGCTGTGACCACCAGGACGTGGACATGTGCACGGTGCATGGAACCGCTGTCTGTTGGGCCACGTCTACATGGCCACCCACCCACCCGCTGGGCCACATGTGCACACAGCTGTCACATGCATGTGGGTCACGGCTGTGCACAAAGGGCAGATGAAAGAGACTCACAGGTTGGTGGGGCTCAAACAGAACATGGAGCTATATGGGACAATGGGTCGGGGTCCGCTTCTCATCCCATCATCAGCTTCTGCCTCCTTCTTCCCGTCTGCTTGGCTTTCCAGGTCCACATGACCACCTAGGAGGACACAGGCCAGGTTAGGGAAGTGGCACATACAGACCCACACCACGTAGGCCTCACCTGGGCACCAGATACCCTCCCAGCTCCAACCCCCCGCGAGCAGACCAGGTCTCCGTGGACCCGCCCGGCAGAGGGCATGCGGCTAAGAACTGCATCACACGAGACTCCCTCTGATCATGGTCAGGACCCGCTGAACTGCGCGGGGCCAGGACTGAGCCAGCACTGGAGATCTGGGGTTGTGTGTCCCTGAGACTCCAAGAGGCCCCTCATCTCTCACTTGCCCAGGGTCAGGGTGGGAGAGCAGTGCCCCGACCTCCACTGAGGCTTTTAGTCCAGATGTTCTAACAGCACCAAAGCCCCCACAGCCCCTGAGACCAGGGTCTTTAGGCTCCCACTCTCCCCACCCAGAGTTGACACCATAAGAAAAAGCAGCATGAGGGTGCCTCTGCAGGGGCTGAGGGCCAACAGGGAGGGGCCGGGGACCTTTCCTATTTGTTAGTGCAGGAAAACAGAACTAAGGGCCCTGGACCACATACACTCTCCTGAACTGGGCGGTTCCATCTGACCCAGCCTGGGATTCTCAACTTCAGGACCCAGCAGAGGCCCCTCCAGGCCAGGGGCTGCAGAGGACGCAGGCCCCCAACCCCCATGTGTTCTTGTTCTGCTCCCCACACTTCCCTCCCCTTCCTCACGGCCCCCACCTGCGCTCGGCTTGGCCCCCACAGACCAAACTCCCTGAGATCAAAGCAGCCATGACCTTTGTCCTCATCCAGCAGCTTTGCTGTCTGTGCTCTATGCCTAGCACTTTGCCCACAGTGGTTTTCCGTTTTTGACTATCCTAATGCACATTTCAGTTCTGGTGGGTCAGAGTTCCTGAGACCTCAGGGATGCCAAGGGCAATGACTTGGAGCCAATCCTCACTGCTGGACCTCATTTTTCACTTCTTAAAAGAAACATCAGAGCAAGGAGGATGCTGATGGGCAGCAGGAATGAGGCAGTTAGTCCAGAGCCTGTGCGATGGCCAAGGCTCCAAGCCTGGCCCCAACCGGGGGCCTCTCAGACCTGCAGAGCGCAGGGGGCCAGAGAAGCCCTGAGCCTCGGGAAGCTGTCAGCCTGCCACCATCCAGCACTGCCGGATTTCTCTGCAGCAGGAGTAAATTACACAATCTTCCATCAAAGCAATTGGTTTATTCACGATGTTAAAAAATTCTATCTATTGATTTAATTTGTGAGACTATCTCCTAAGGAGACCACATTATCTCCTAATGCACACAAAAATCTGTATTCACAAAGGTGTTTGTTATAAGTTCTTCTACAATAACAGAAAAAAACTAACATGTACAACCACAGGAGACTGACTTTACAATATTTACATGAAGTATCATACTAAGGATATTAAAAATGCCTACAAATAGTTGAAATGACAAAAGAGAAAGCTTCCAGTATTATGAGCTAAAAAGAGGCTACATACTTGTATATCCCAGAAGAGCTCAACTACAAAAAATAACATATATGGGGAGAGAAATAACACCAAAGAAATAACTCTGAATGGGCTCTGACAATCTTTTTAATTCTCTTCGCTACACTTTAAACATTTAAAAAAAAAACCTCCATGATGGGCATGCATCACTTTTTTTAAAAAGTATCATTTTAAAACCACAGCTTTACAGACTCTTCCACAGTAACAGTAAAGCAAACCCGAGGATAAGTAAACAGGGAGCAAAGAACCAATATGGACTCAGTGAAGAACTGCTGCTCAAAGCAACAGGCGCCCGAGCCTGGATGGAAACACAACGTCCGAGACAGATGCACAACAGTAACATCGGTTAAGGCAAAGCAGACCAAGAAAGAAGGGGAGAGTCGAATGACGACCGCATCAGGCTAAAAGTGAGTTCACTGATGGGCGCAGGCTGCTGAAAGAGACTTCACAGGAACAAGTGCTAAACTGCAGAAACAGGAGAGCCCCAGCAAGGAGGCCAGATACAGAGGCAAGGAGCCCCGGCCCCTTGCTCCCCACGGCACTCGGGGGCCGCGCACCATCTCCGTCTTCCAGATTAAGGAACTGAGACCCTACCTTGTGGGGACATGATGTTCTTGCTGGGCCAAGAACCCTGAGCTCAAGCTCACCGAGAGGCAGGGGCAGAGTGAGGATTCAGCTGAACTGAGCCTCAAAAGGGCTCAGGTCAGCCCCAAGTGGGGGTGCCCTGGGCTTCTGGGAAAGCAACTGCAAACCGTCTCTGACAAAACACGGCACGTCTGGCTCACAGAACCTCCAGGTGAAGGCAGCCCTTCTGCATGTGAAGAGAATTCAAGGTCTAATATCGCAAGACAACCACATGTCAGAAGAATTTCTCTCCTACACACTGAGAAGGGTCATGTGCCATCCTTGGGAGAATTGAACAAGTCCATCAATTCATTTTCTGTAAGGCTTCATTATCTCACAAAACGCCAACTGAGGAAGGGTGGGTTAAGGTCAATCATATATAAACCCAAAATAAAAAACATATAAGGAAGCAATATAACCAGGATAAAAGACAGCAGAAACAAGTCCTAGGTTTATATCTGCCATGGACTTCAGATAGAGAACTTTTTTTTAGATGAGGAATATAAAAATAAACATAAATATGTAAAGAAATATAAAAAATGAATTCTAAAGAAACAAGCAATAAAAGTCTGTAAAATTGACCTAGAGTTTCCATGCCTGAGACAGAGAAGCTTAACATGGACTCAATCCGCCCCCTGAAAACGACTATAAAAGCTCAACAAAGTGCAAACCGTAACGGTTTAACGGCACTGGGGGCCAGTAACTGTGGGGGGTCCTGGAGGAGGGCCCCGGGAGGTGCCCCTGCGTGCGTGCCAGCTGTTCCCCAAGTCTGTTTTCCTATTTGTTAGTGCAGGAAAACAGAACTCAAGCAGAAAGTAGCACAGGGACTGGGAGGAGAGAAGACAGGAGTTTGAGTAGGATAAAGCGGCGGTGAGAGGCAAAATGCCAGAGAGGAGAGATGGGGAGAAGGGAGGCCCTCACTCGGTCGCTGCCGATCCCCACGGGCACTGCTGCCATGTGCGGGATGAGGCTGGCCTCCACTAGAAGCCAGTGCCTGCAAGGAGCCCCCCTCAGAGCGGAAAGCAGTGTCGAAGGCCGATACTGGGTCCCTAAGCCAATACAGATTTAACTGTGATACCCTATTTTATTAGACTTGTTCTTAATCTTGTTAGTATTCTAGTTACAGAGCTGCATAGACCTTGAATCGTTCAGGCTTAACCCTGCTCTTTCCTACAAGGCTTATTACTGCCGGTGCTCAACCTTTCCAAGAATGCACACATGGTGCACAGCAGGATGTGTGCACTTCAGGAGGACGGAAAATGCTATCACAGGGGCTTTAAGAAAAACTCATTATAGAGCTAAATGGTCACCACAGAAGACAGAATCTCACCTCCAGTGGGACATGATTGTAAACATAAATAAAGTAGCTTAAAATGCAGAAGGTAAGTACACATTTCGGTGGAAGCTTTTTGTTTAAAAAAGAAGACGTAAGAGAAAAAGTCCCTCAGAAGAGAGGCAGAAACACATTCAATAGTTCTTGGTCATCTGTTAGACTGTTTTCTGCACTGAGCTGCATGTTTCAAACTATTCAAAATAACTGCGTTACATATACACGCACACAGACACACACACACACACACACACACACACACACAGTAAGAACTCACAGATCTGCAGAGAGATTTCAGTGCACCTCCTCAATTACCAGGGGGCTAACCAGGCAAAATACCAGTGAATATGTAGAATATTTACCAAGATAACTAATGAACTTGATTTAGCAGACAAATATAAAACACCCAGGGTTCCCAAATTAGAGGAAACATATTCCCCTTAAGCACACATGGGATATTCATAGAATTTGACCATATACTGAGCCTTGAGGCAACTGCAGAGACGATCATTCAGATCGTGTTTCCTAATCACAATGCAATTAAGTTAGAAATTAAGGCAATAATCAGAAATAAAAAGATTAATTTAGAATTTACTGTTGGGAACTAAAAGGAGACTTTAAAGAGCTCATGAGTCAAAATTATATATTCACAGACAGTATAACTATGTCTACCTAGAAAACAATCTATAGAAAAATCATTTAAAGGAACAAGAGTTTGTCTGGTAACTCTGGCTAGAAACAAAACTGACAGACAAAAACTACTTGTGTTTCTAGACAGTAGGAGCAAATAATCAGAACATACAATTTTTTCAAAAATGCCACTTTAAAAAGATAAAGTATAAAAAGACAAATTTTACTTCTTAGGAATTTTAGAGCAGTGAAACCACTCAGCATGACACTGTAATGGTGGACACATGGCTTCATACATTTGTCCAAACCCTTGGGATGTAAGCCACCAAGAGTGGCCCTAACATGAACAGGAGACTTCAGGTGATCAGGACACGTCTACGCAGGCTCACAGACTGGCAAACGCACTCTGGTGGGGGATGCTGACAGTGGGGAAGTCAGTGCATGCAGTAGCAGGGGATGGAGAGAAAATCTCTTTAGTTTCCATTTAATTTTACTGTGAACCTAAAACTGCCCTAAAAAAAAAACCAAAAAGACAAAATTTTTGGCATAGGAGAAAGATACTAACACAAAATCAAAGACATTAGACAAAAAATCATATAACCTCACATTTGAATTACAAATGCCTAAAGAATGTATATGTTCTTCTCTTTAAAAAGAAATAGAAGTCCTGAAAAGACTGAAAGCAGTTAAAACCCAGTAGCAAAGACCACCCTAAAAAATACTATTTCTCATCCCTGAGATGAAAGTCCCGTGGCAAGCGCTGACGTAAGGACACGCTCCCAGGAGCAACCGGGCGGCAGAACGGGGAGAGAGGAGCTGAGCACGAGTGACGCTTTGGGGAGCCTGGCCCAGCAGTGGCTGCCCGCGCCAGGCACTGGGCCTCAGCTGGCCGGACCGAGCGGCCCTTCCCTGCCAGCGCCACTAGGCATGCTG